TTCCATTCATTTGTTATAGATTCATCTGTTGATGGACATTTGGATTATTTCTATCTTTTGGGTATTTTGAATAATGCTGCTATGCACATGGGTGTAAAAAACCTGTTCAAGTCCCTGCTTTCAGTTCTTATGAGTGTATATGCAGAAGTGGAATTGCTAGATCCACTGGTGATTTTATGTTTAATATTTTGAGGAACCAGCATATTATTTTCCACAGTGGCAGTTGCATGGTTTTTTGAAAGTGGCATATATTCAACACATTTTTAAAGTAATATTTTGGACCAGATGATTATTAAAACTGTGATTAAGAGATGTAAGATTCTGGGAAGATGGTCAAATAGTGGCATTCTTCTTTGTTTTTACTTTTGTCTGCTCCAGGCCCATGCCTCTGAGGTCAGCTTGGCATCCATCTGGAAGCCAGGAAGGGGCCCACACCCAGTCTTGGGAGCCTGGAATACCCTTTCTGATAGTGTCCACTTACTTTTTTCCCACATCGGTCTCCCTCATTCTCTAAATAGCTCTCATACTAAGTGGAATGTTTTTTGTTTGCATTGGGGTGGGGAGGAGTTCTTAGGAGGACACTGAAGAAATGACTTTGGACTGACATCTCAATAAGAAGGAAGGGATCATGTTCAGCTAGAATTTTGGAGGCATGAGCTCCCAAAGGTCCTGGAACCTGTTTTACAGGTGAAGGAACAAATATTGCTGCAAGGAGAACGCGGAAGAAGATATTTCTTCTTCCTGAAGATCGTGTCTACCAATTCTGGAGAATACCATCAGAATTCTTATGTTCCCTGGAGCCTGGGGTCCCTTGTGGACACTGCGTGGGCAGTGACCACTGCCTGTGCACATGGATGTGTCACGTTTCCTCCCAGCATCTTAGACGACCTGACAGCTTTGTTTTCTTCAGTTTATTGAGGCTAACTGGGAAGTTTGTCTATTTAGTATTTATCTGCTGTGTTGAAAGAGAGGTGGGGGTACAAGATTAAGAAACCTTTAAACAAAACTTTAAGGAGAGTTATCATACCATAACTCGAAACTGAACACTTGGATGCCTGGTAATATAAATCTTGCCAATTCCCATTACAACACAGATTGCAACATGCCTCTCTTCTCGTAAATGTTTTTTTGAGGTCACTCCAGCTCTATCAGATCCCTCTCCCCCTTGACCTGTTGCCAATAGACAACTATGAATTTTCCTTGCTCTTCTTGCTCACCTGAAGCCAAGGGCTGGTCAGGGATACAGGAGAGCTGTCCTATTTGTTCAACGACTAGCGTGTGGTCTTTATGCTCCACTGCACACAGGGTTCTGTCTGGCAACCTCTTCTGTCTCCCAGAATGACTATTCTACCCATTCTCACTCTCCTTCATCTTCTCTTTCCACATCTCTTACATTACCTCCAAACTCACAAACAACCTTCCCCACGGTTCTTGGGTCTTGGAAGCAAAGTCATCATCCTCTCCTCCAGGGATAATTCCTTCATCTTGAATCTTGAGGGCTTCCCTTGTAACTCAGTCGGTAAAGAATCTGCCTGCAGTGCAGGAGACCTGGGTTCAATCCCTGGGTTGGGAAGATGCCCTGGAGAAGCAAATAGCAACCCACTCCAGTATCTTTGCCTGGAAAATCTCATGGACAGAGGAGCCTGGTGGGCTGCAGTCCATGGGGTCGCAAAGAGTCGGGCACGACTAAGCGACTAGCACTTACTTAAATCTTGAGGCCTCACGCCTTTCCTTTAGATACTTCGTTTCTTCTTGTATTTCATCCCCTTGCTTTCCTGAGTCCTCAACTTTTCCTTCTTGCCTCCTTCCCCACAGATTATGAATATGCCCAAGCTCGAAATACCCATAGCAGCCCGAAGGGGAGAAAACACAAGTGCTCTTGCTCCGAAGCCTGTGTGAAATTGGTCTTATCTTCTCAGTCGAGCTCCTGGCAAGAGAACCCTGCATATGTCACTCCCTCCGCATCTCTCCTGTAGTGACTCGGTCTCGCTCTGACTTCCCATGCTCCACAGGAACCAGGACAGCAACCATGCCCCGATTACCACTGTGGATGGGAGATTTTCAGTCCATTTTCCACCTCTTCTCTTTCCAGAATCTGAAGGTGTGAGGCTCCCACTCTTTAACAATCCTGGTGCTGCTGGGCAAAGTGGAAAGAGCGTGTGCTTTGTGATAAATTGGAATCACAGCTCACCCATGTAATAGCCGTGTGACTATGGACTACAGTGTGACTACAGTCACTTAAATCTGAGACTCAGTTTTCTCATCTACAGAATGGGGAAGGTAGCATCAGCATCAGGGGAGGACTGATGAGGAAGACATAAAGCTCCCTACTACTGATGACTGTGTGTGCATGCTCAGGCGCTCCATTGTGTCTGACTCTTTGAGACCCCATGGACTCTAGCTCACCAGGCTTCTCTGTCCATGAGATTTCTCAGGCGAGTCTCAACCAGAGGCATAACTTTTGGTTCTGGGTCCTCAACCCTCATGCTGGGGTTATGCTTCATGCCTCAGCTGCTTAACCCTAGTTATGGAAGATCTTTGGAATCCACTCTCCTTTGATAGGTCCTGTATTTTTCCCCTTTCTCTATTTATGTTGCTTCTTCCTTAGTTTAATTCTTCAAGATCTTGGCCTTCACATGAGACATGTCCTCCCTCTGAACTGCCTTTCTCCTGTCCATCCAGCAAATCCCCACCTGTCTCCCAACCCCTGCTCAGTGTCCCTTCCTGGACTTGCTGGTCACCACCACGCTTGGTGCCTCCCTTGTCACTAACACATCACATGCCTTTCATGAGTCAGGACCCGAGTAATGGGAGCCAGACCTTGCAGCTCTCCAGTGGCCTTGGTTCCTAGCACATGTGTGGCAATCATAGGGGTTCATGAAATGGATTCATCTCTAGGTAAATATGCATTTACCTCAAGCAGCAGTCAGTAAAATAAGCCTTATCGATAAGATAAAGGCATTCTTTGTGGATTTTAACCTGTGATGTTAATGTATATGATAACCTTATTGGTTGAGGATGAAATGGAAGCATTGTTTTTGATGAACTTCTGGAATCACCAGTGATGCATTTGCCTGACAAGCCTAAATAAGTGATGCTCATGTCCTGAAGTCCGATTCCTTCTGCTGGAGGAGAATTCTATGCACCAAAGGCCCCATATGGTAGTATGTGAATGGTGCACAGTGAATGGCAAAGCTGGGATCTGGGCGCTCTTCTGTGGTGGGGAAGGAGGTCCTTTCTCACTCACTCTGTATTTAATGCTTTTTCTTTTCTGGATATAATGGTTCTTTGGTGAAGTGAAGTTGCTCAGTCGTGTCCGACTCTTTGCGACCCCGTGGACTGTAGCCCACCAGGCTCCTCCGTCCATGGGATTCTCCAGGCAAGAATACTGGAGTGGGTTGCCATTTCCTTCTCTCGGGGATCTTCCCGACCAAGGGATCAAACCCAGGTCTCCCGCATTGCAGGCAGACGCTGTAACCTCTGAGCCACCAGGGAAGTCCTTTAGCTGAGACTATAAAGGCAATAAGGGAGAATTGCAGGCCCTCATTTTCTCTGCTGGTAGAACTTTCCCACAAGGATAAGGGAACTGCTCTTTTTCTCTTTAGAATGATTTCTTGAGGCTACCTAGGCTCTTTCTCTGTTTTTTATTTTCTGTAAGTGGCATTGTCTTGGGAGATCATTGACCTCTCCTCTCAGTCATTCAGTCAGCCCGAGAGAAACCTGTCCTGTCCGTTGGCCTTACCTTTGCAGGTCAGTGGCTTTAACCATAACTTGGATGTGCCCCGTCTCACTCAATTCAGTCTGCTTTGCACATTGCCACAAGAACATCATTTAAAAGTCTTTACTGACTTTCTTTCACTTATGAAGTAGCATTCATACTTCCAGGTGTGGAGTTGAAGGACCCACCACCATCTGGTTACAAACCGTACTTCAGTCCCTGCCCCCGAGGAGGCTCTTGCTTTCCCACCCCACTGTATAGGGTCCTCTCATCTTCAAGTCCTACCTCAGAACTCAGTTCCTCTGTGAAACAGCTCTGCCCTCCTCAGAAAGGCCTGTTCTAGAATTATTTATGGGTGTACTTTAGCTCTTCCGGCAGTGGGAAGCCTCAACAGCAGCTGCTGCATCTTACTAATTTTTAATGTTCCCATGGTGGCTAGTACAGGGCTGAGTGTGTGTGTGCATATGTGTGTGTGCCTGTATATGTGTGTGTAGGCATTGATTCTCTAGGCTCAGTCTTTAAACCATTGAAGAACATCAATTCTAACTCACTGTGTTATTCCAGATAAATTGGAAGGCTCTCAACACATTTTTCTACAATGCAGCAATTATTTCCAAAAGAAAAATAGTATCATTCACATTTGCTCCTTCCATTTATAATAGGAGGAGGGTTTCCTATAAAGTTTAATGGTAACTGATTTCAGGAAAGGAACTATTGTATTAGCATAATTACACTAAACTGAGAAAATTTTGTTTCAATTTATTTTGAATTTAAACATCTAGAAATAAAGATGTATAAAAGTTTCATGTTTGTTCTACATTGCAGGGTGGACATATCCTATGATTTCATTGATCTATTATGGTTTAGTTAAAAAAAAACATCTTTTAGAATGTGAATCTTAGTATGGGTTGTATTCTGAAATAGAAAGAGGGAGCTGTCCCCACACAAACGAATCCCCCAGCACGCCAAGTGGGAGGCTCTGCCTTGCCTGCCTGTGAGGCATCCATGCTGTCCCACATGGGCACCCCCATCCACCTCTGCAGGCCCCATGGCCGCTATGTGACCCAGCTGCTGATGGCCGGGAGGCCCTCGCTGATGTGACTGTCCAGCCTCTGAGGGGACTGGCTGTCACTCTTTCAGAAAAGTGTGTTGTATTCTATTTCAGACCTCCCAGGGGCCGGCCCCACTTTGAGTGTCTGCCCTTTCGCCTTCCTCACATTGGTTTCTCCTGTCAAAAGAATTTCTCTAATGCCTGATAATCCCGATTTCACCTCCAGCGCACATAGCTGCTGCTTTCTGAGAGGTTTTAATGTCCATGTGAAATGCGATAATAAGATTTGAGTTTAATGGAGTCGGTTTTCTTGACATGACTTTATCTGTGATGACCGGCACTTGACTCGAGCTGTCTGCCCTCAGCAGAGTTGCGCCACTGCTCCCTCCACCTTGGCCACCTCTCTGCTCCTCCTCTGGGCGCCTTCTCCTCTCCCTGAAGTGGGGAAGGGAGAGCATGGCCGCAGATGACCAGGCTTCTGTCATCCGTGTTAGCAAATCTAGAGGAAAGAGAGAATGTCCCTTTCTTGGGTCTCAACCTGTCCCCTGAAGGGCAGGGCTCTGATCGACTGGGCTGGGGCCTGAGCCCACCAGGGCACTGACCTGGCAGAAACTGGTCATGTGCCCCCAATGGTCCTTCCTCAAGGAATACAAGTGTCCTCACCAGGAAGAGAGTAGGGCTGTGGGGCAGAGAAGGACAAACGTATGCCATGCCAGCTACGTCCTACAAAGTCTATTTCTCATGGTATTCAATTTTTTCTTTTATTTTTTAATGAATGCTTTCTGTAATATCTTTTAAGAAATTATTTATTTTTAATTGGAGGGTAATGTACAATATTGTGTTGGTTCTGCCATATATCAACAGGAGTCAGCTGCAGATATACATGTGTCCCCTCCCTCTTGAACCTCTCTCCCACCTCCCACCCTATCCCACCCCTCTAACTTGTCACAGAGCATCGGATTTGAGTTCCGTGCATCATACAGAAAATTCCCACTGACTATTTACATATGGTAATGTATATATATCAATGCTGCCCCTCAATTTGTCCCACCCTCTCCTTCCTCCAATGTGTCTGTTATTTTTATCTGCATCTCCTTTGCTGCCCTGCAGATGGGTTCATCAGTGCCATCTTTCTAGATTCCATATATATGTGTTAATATCCAATATTTGTTTTTCTTTTTCTGACTCACTTCAGTCTGTATAATAGGCTCTAGGTTCATCCACCTCATTAGGACTGACTCAAATGCATTCCTTTTTATAGCTGAGTAATATTCCATCATATAAATGTACCACCGCTTCTTTATCCATTCATCTGTTGATGGACATCTAGGTTGCTTCCATGTTCTAGCTATTGTAAATGGTGCTGCAATGAATGTCAGGGTACATGTGTCTTTTTCAATTCTGGTTTCCTCAGGGTATATGTCAAGTAGTGGGATTATTGGGCCATATGTTAGGTTTATTCTAGTTTTTAAAGGAATCTCCATATTGTTCTCCATAGTGGCTGTTATCTCTTCAGTTTTTTCAAAGAACATTTTGTGAAATTATCAACTTTAAAATCGAGGCACTAGAGGCTACTAAATATCTCATTTCTCCACCCGAACAGGGTTGGGCCACCACAGGCTCACTCCGGGGGTCTTAATGATGGGTGCTTTTCAGAGAAGGAATCAGGGTGTGCCCCTCCACAGGGACCTTAGGTACTGTTGTGCACAGTTTGAACTCGAGCATTCTTCAGAGCAGAATTGGAAAGGAGAGGGGGAAATCCACAGGGCTTCATTTTCTGTGGTGCTCAATAAATGAGGCATTTTTGTTTCACCATTTCAGGCCAGATGATTCCATAAAAGCCTCGTTCTGCCCTGATCCATCTCCATGAGATTCCGTTGAGGATCTGACCTCCCCGCCCACTGCCATGCATCTCAGAGGCCTGCAGGCTTTCACACCTGAGACTGACAGTTGAAGTCAATCAAAAAGTGCCCGTGTGTTTACTTTCAAGTGTGTACACATACTGCTTTTGTGTTGTGTCCATGTGTGAAGAAATGTGTGCTTTGCATGTCTTTACACGTCAGGATGTGCTCTGCATGTGTTTTTGTGGGTCTTCATTTGTGTATGTGTGTCTCTGTGGTGCTTGTGTGTATACAAGAGAGGATATATGAGCTGAGTTGATGTTTATGTTTAGACTGTGTTTGGGGGTGTATCTGAAGAGTTGGAGGAACAACATTCCTTGACTTACATTTACTAATTTTTTCCTTAATGTGCTTAATTTATGAAGTCGCCAGCTGCCGTCCTTTCCTCACCCCCCAGCCAAGCAGGAGGCAGTTTGGTCCAGCTGTCATGCTGGAATGCATTCTGCTCTTCTTGAGCATGCTTTATTATTATTATTTTTAAAGCTCTTGGAAGGCCTTGTGAGAGAGGTGCTGGGAGTTCATTGCAGATTATTTTTAATAACAGAATCCTAGAGGGAAATGGAAAGCTGTGTTTTATTGGCAAGCTGTCTTCTCCATCTCTAAAGTAAACAAGACTCCATTTTCTACATTATTTAATGTGTCATCCTTCCCTCCCCCTTTTAATCATCCTCCAAATGGACTCATGAGATCCAAATCGACAGGCACAGAGCCCTCCCTGTGAGCACGCCTATATTGGGCCCTGTTCGGGAGAGGGTGTACCCAGTGGGGGCACAGATCCATTCTGCTGGGAATCAGGTCCTCCCTGGGTCACAGGTGGCCTCCTCCCTGCTTAGAGTTGCCAGCCCTGGACCCTGGTGATGTGTAAAGCTTGGGAGGAATCAGAACATGATGGGTGGTGGGCACCCTGTGATCTAGAGAAGCTTCTGATAGGTTCTGGTGGCAGCACCAGCTGCTGGTCATTTCAGCTCAACTCAGTTTGATCCAAATAAGCACAGAGAGCACCTGCTCACTACCTGGCATTCTGCTAAGTGTGCATGTGTGTGTAAATGAATGAAAGTGGACACCTCTACTCCCCCTTGAAACTGTCAATATGTTGATGCAGTTGACCCAGAGCCCAACTCTCTAGGCTACAATATAGACCCTGCTACATCTGTGAGTCCCGCTGCCCTCTGGAGCCACAGCTCTGGGTTTTGTGAGAGCTTTTCTGCTCTGCCATGGATATGGACAGGGAAATCCTCTCCACTGGGGTCTGCAGGTCCACACACAGCAAGCACGTTTCGATTTCTGCTGCCTGCAGCAAGGTTGTGGGGCCACCTGCCTGGAGGTCTGCATCTCAGCCTTGCCCCCCACACCTGCTCCTGCTTCTGCTCTCCTTCTCATATCCCTGCACAGCTGGCCTTCATATCCACACAGGACTGTCCTCCCAGCTTCAGACTCCCCAAGACACTCAGCTTTTTACCTTTCATGAGCTTAGTAAGAAGTTCTTTTTCTGAATAGAGAGGAATTTTGAGTAGTGCCTTGTTCTGCCTGAATACATACATAAAGCTGACAGTCAGGTAGGAGTCTGTTTTCAAACTGTTTATGTGGAAGATGTTAGTCTGAAGGGGAAGAGCTTGTGTTGATCCTTTCAGGAAACTCTTCCCTCAAAGTTTCCAGGATTCTAGGAACCACCAGTGAGGAGTTAATACACCTGTTTCTCTAAAGCCTGTCTTTGCATCCTTCCCCTTCCTCTTTGCTCCTCCTCATTTTTTTTTTTTCCTTCTCTTTTCTCTCCTATCATAAAATTGTTAAAGCACTTTCCTTGTGCCAGGACAAATTCCTGAGGCCAGATCACACATTTGGAGTGCTTACAAATCACCCAGCCTCAGTAACCCTTAAAATTGTTGAGTGTCTGGGCTCCAGGATCAGTGCAGGGTGCTGACGGACTTTTGAAGATAATATGGATTTGATCTTCTGTCTTGGAGCTTCTGCAATATCTGACAAGGTAGGAAGTCACAACATTTATCTAACGTAGATGCGCATTCTTGGCATGCGGCGGGCAGCTTGAAGGAGGGGAAAGAGAAACACAGAAAGTGTGTGTTTGCAGGTGATTCCACCTACCTCCCCACCTGCCCATATCTTCAACTTTCATCTGGCGTTTTGAGCTGGGGACTTAAGGCACTCCCTGAAGTCTCTTTCGCTGCTTTCACCTCCCCCTAAGGTGTGTGTAGAATATGCTACAGAATAACTCATTGCAGCTGGAAATGCTGTAGGAAAGAATTATTCTTTCGTGAAAACACATGCCGAGTCCCTGTGTCCCAGGTGCTATAGAAGGTGGGATGAGGGCAGTGTTTGAGCTCTGAGAGACGCTGTCACCCATGCACCGGGAGCTGGAGAGCTGGCTGCACTTGTGGCAGGTTTGTTCCCACTTTTCTGAAGTAGAACTGGGATGGGGAAGTTTTTTTTTCCCCAAGGCCTTACCCTTCAGGGCAGAAAAGGGAGGGCGGGGTGGGGGTGACCGCGCATACGTGCTGAGACAGCGAGGCCAGCCCAGTTCTTGGCGTGGTAGGTGGCCCCAGAGCATCCTTTGCTTTGCTGCGTTTTGTCAGTTCTCCTAGCTTGTTTTCCCTAATGACCTGGACAAGGGAATGGAGAGACTTCTAGACCTCAGGCCTGATGCCCTCAGCCCTTTTGAACTGAAGAACTAGGCAGAACTAGGACCAGCGTCTGAAATAAAAGGCGTCCGGGAGGCAAGGTTTTTGGTCCTGCTAAGAATAAGAGCCTCAGGAGCTCATGGGGCCAGAGCCTCATGTGTGGATATGTTGTGGAGGATTCTTGGGGCTTGGCTAGGGTGTTTTGAGTCTTGCATCCTGTGGTCCTGAGGTCTACCCAGCTTACTGGTGGCACATCTGAGCTCAGCTTTTATCTACCTTCTCCCTGAAGGAAGGTGCGAGACCTCAGAATCCCAGATGGCCCAGTATCAGTGCTACACGGAGCCCTGGACCCCTGACTCCCACAGCTGACTCATCCACGGCAATCTGCTTCACGTGCGGGATTCATCTCCTGCCTTCCATACAGACCATGCCTGTGCTTTCACGTGGCTTTTGACTGCTCCTTCTCTCTTGAGACTTTTTACATCCCAAGGCCTGACCTAGATCTCAGCCTGGTTCCAGAGTAGCTTCTGGTCCCAAACATTTCAGTCCAAGCTCTTGATTTGTTTGTATTTTCCTTCCTGAAAACCTACCTGGCACCAACTTCTAGGCTCTGTGTTTTGAGAGTGTCAAGGAGAATGAGACTAGCTGTGACCTGAGGCTGTTTCAACCCTGAGTAATCTCTCTTCCACCTTGTCCTTAAAATATACATGAAAGTACAAAAAAATGACCAAAAACAACACAAAAAACCTCACAGGAACACCGTCCACAATCACTAGCCTTGGGAGGGATTTCCATTATCTTCAGCAACAATGAGACAGATTCAGAAGCACAATTGATGACATTTTCATTGTTAGTGGCTCAGTTGGCTAGAGGTGAGTGAGAAGAGGCCTTGGTGATCCCCTCCCCACCAAGATCTGAAGAAGCCCTTGAACCCAGCAGGGTGTTGAATAG